CCGCGGAGCCCCCACGCCTGCACCGCCGGCACCGGCACCGGCACCGGCACCGGCACCGGGACCGGCACCGGCACCGGCACCGGCACCGGCCCGGCCGGGGCCCGCAGCGCCCCGGGCTCCGCAGCCCCTTCCTCCTCAACCCCCCGACGGCTCTGCTGCTGCTGCCGCAGCTACCAAAGTTTTTATTCGCATCTTCGTTATCTCCAAACTGATCAAGTGGCCAAAAACAAACAAGAAAAGTCTTTTTAATGTAAGGGTTGCTCACCTGATGCAGTAAAGATCAATTCTCAGAGCAAAGGGCTTCTACTTCCAGCAAAATCTGGTTCCCCGACTTACTCAGCCGGAAGAGCGAGCACCATTAGCTGCTTTACATAGACTTTTTTAAGTCTGTGTCAAAGGCATTTGATGTAGAGCATAAAGATGCACCTTGCGCGCTTCTGTCAACAGCCAGCCCGAGGCTGGGGCTCGGGTGCTACGTGTCCAACTCCCCAACAGAAGAAAAGTTAAGATTTTTTTTTTTTGCTCAACATTTATTACCTTTTCTCAAAGTTTCAGCCCTTGGCCATTCGACAAATCTTATTCAAAACGGTTTTAGATTTAAAAGGAAACCGTTTGAGCTGTGTTTTGATCCGATCGCCACTCTGCGTTTATTTCTTGTAAGACAAAATAAAAGTTACATCGAAGTGGTTTACATCGAAGAAGTCGGGGCCCTGGGGCTGAGAGGTGTTCTGGGCCGTGCTCCCCGCTGCCAGGACCCTCTCCGGGTGCGGAGGGAGCTCCCCGCAGGGACCGCCCGCCGCCTCCCCCGGGACTCGGACGGGGCTGGGCGGCTCAGGGGCGGGAGGGTGAGCGGGGCAAGGCCGGTCCCTACAGCCACTACAGCCGCGACCGACTCCGGACAAATGATCGACGAGCAGAGCTCCTACCTCCGCTCAGTCACTTGCTAGCGCTGCCTCGGACCTTACCCGACGGGGAGGGAGAGGTGAGTGCTTGGCAGAATTCACTGTAAACCACTGTGGTGTTCACTCGATTAATTCCGGCGTGGCCTCGACCACCGCGGGGAAGCACGGAGGGAGCCCGGGCCGGGGCCGGACCCCTGACGTCCTTCCCCCGGCACCGTCGTCCGGCTCCCAGCGCCCTTCGGCGGGGTGGACGCGGCGCTCCGTGCCCGGGGGAAGCGCATCTGCGCCCGGCCGGAGGCGAGGCGAGAGCCCCCCGCACCCACGGCCCTCCAAGCAGAGGGGAGGGGAGCGAAGCTCTCTTGTAAAGCTCCCAGCCGTCGGAACCCGCAAGATAAACATCATTAGAAATCATTGTAATTGGGATTGTGAAATCTGACCTCTGACCCTCCGGGCTACGTGTCACAACCGTGTCTGCTTTGATTCCTCGAAAGGCGGCACAAAGGAACAAGTTCCGTGACAGGAGGCAGCGGGATCTGCGCCCCGGCCGGAGGGGACCGACGGGGGGGACCACGCGTGGCCTTCCCCCCCTCCCCCGTGCCTCATTTGCATATGCAAATCAGCAGGCGGCCGGGCCGCGCCCTCCCGGGGGGTGGTCGTCGGGCCAGGGCCGGGGGCCTGGAACGATTGTCCTCGATTCAAGGGGTGCCCTGGACGGAGAAACAAGCGTCGGTGCGTCCTTCCGCCAGCGGAGGGAGGACGGGGGGGCTGGGGGCTGTCTGTTGGGTGTTGACTGATGTTCACATCCCACAAAGGCGCGGCTGCCTCCCGAGAGCCGGGGTGTGGGGGAACAGACCCCCGAGGCACGCAGGAAGGAGGGGGAGGGCAGCGCTTTGCCTCCAGGGCTTTTCCGCCTGGACTAGCGGGTGCTCTTCCTGGGACTTGGGCTCCCCAGTCCCACCCGTCCGTCCATCCCTCGACATTCCTCCCCTGCCGGGGGCCCGGTGCGTGTCCCTCGCCTCCCCCCGCCGCTCCGCGCACACCTGGTCCCTTCCCTACGGGGAGGATGTTGCGCCTTCTGCTCTTGTTTCTCAGCTCGGGCTGGTGCTGAGCCCAGGGTGAAGGTCGTCCCCCCCATTCCCCGCGGGCCTCTGTGCCCTCGGTACCCACAGGGGACCAAGGTCGTTCGTGGAGCCAGCGAGGACAGACCTGGACCCCGCCGGCCTGCACCCATTCACCAATATGCTCCGCTCAGCTGCTCTCCGTGAGAAATCCTAAAAGCGTAATTACATTAAAAAGTCTGATTTGTTTAAATAATCCTCTTTAGGCCTCCTTTAATCTGCCCTATATTTCCCTCGTCGGCTTTATTCCTGACTTGTCCAGCTCAGCTGAGTCTGGTTGGACAACCCGCGGCTGAGGAAACTCTTCTTCATCTTCCTCCTCCTCTGGAGCCCCCCCAGCCTTCGGGTAACCCCAGCACCCCGGAGCCGGCTCCCGGCTGCAGGTAGGCAGCAGGTCCCGGGGCCCGGGGGGAGCAGGGCGGGGGGGACAGCGGAAGGGGCCGACAGCCCTGCTCGACCCACGCCGAGAGCCGGCCCGAGCATCACCCGTGTCCCGCGGACAGGAGAAGCGAAGCGGGTTGGTGCCCTCTACCCTCGGCAGGTCCGGGCCAGATCCGGCCTGGGAATGCTCTTGGGGATGACAGTTACTCTGTTTTTAAGGAGAAATGCCATTTTTCGCCTGTACAGCTCCAGGGGAGTGCGAGACTGCGTGTATGACAAAGGCAGAGGATTGAACTGAGACTGGAGCGGGCTCCAGTACTCCAGAGACTGGGAGTAGGGGAGCAATGTTCCTCTGTTCCCGGGACAGCAGCAAGTGAAGGGGGTCCTCGGGGGGAATCTGAATGCGGCCCCCGAACTCTGCAGCTGCCCCGCCGGTCCGGGCTCTCACCGACCGCTTTCCCCGCGAGCGGCGGAACTCGCACTTTGAAGGACGGCTTTATTTTCCTCAGTGCGGAAGATTTGAGTTCGCGTTCCAATCCCGTCAAAAAAAAAAAAAAAAAAAAAAAAAAAAAAAGAAAAAAAAAAAAAGGGAGAGAAAGAAATGCACAACTTTAGATGGCGCTGTACAACATTTATTTAAGCCCTCTGAGTATTCCCGGTTCCTCGGCCTGCAGAGAGAAGAGCCCTCAGCGGGCAGAGGCGGGCTGGGCTGGGCGGGGATGGGGTGGGATACGCTGGGGTAGGTTGGAGTGGGATGAGGTGTAGGAGGGGTCCTGCCCCACCGGCAATGGGCACGGGGGGCAGGGGGCTCTGTCCCCAGCCAGCGCCTCCATCCCCGGACGGTGACAGCAAACCGCAGCTCTAAGCAGGGAAAAGTTAAAAAGCACGAAAATGGCAGAAGCCATCATCCCCACTGCTCCCCTTCTCAAACAGACGGAAAACCCCTAATGCCTCTGACGGGACGAGGAGGGGGGAGCTGCAGGCTACACAGACCCAGAGTGCTGCTGCTTGCCCCCCTCCGCCCCCCGGTCCCACTGACCTGGGCATGGTCTCGGCATCGCCCCATTCTCCGGGGAGATGCAGGAGAAAGGGTCCCCCGGCTCCAGCTCTGCTCGCTCGTCCTCTTCGCCCTGCCGGCTGCGGGCCTAGGGCAGGGATAGAGAGGAGCAGAAAGAGAAGGAAAGCCGACAGCCAGCCTCGTCGAGGGGGACGGGCGGCTCTCCACCCGCCTCGGTGCCCGGTTCCATAGGGTCAGTCAGGAGGGGAATCCCGTCGCTGCCCTCGGCTCGGCGGGGCCCCACGCCAGGCCCGCGTGGGCTCAGGCCCGGCGGTCCCCGACGGCTCGAGGAGGAGGCCGTGGTGTCCCGGTCCCGGCCCGTCCGTGTCCCCCGGCCGGCGGCGAGGAGAGCCGACCCGGGACTGGGCACGGCCGGCCTTTAACCGGGGCGGGTGGAAAAGCGGAGCGGGAGCCCTGTCGTGCCGCCCCGCGTCCCACGCACACGGCAAATGCGAGCCCGAGCCCCGCACGAGGGAGCGGAGGGCAGGGACCGGCGCCGGGAGCGCTCCCGGGAGCGGTGGCGCAGCGCCCGGCGCCGAGCGCCGATCGCTCCGGCCCGATCCTCGCTGGAAACAGCGTGGGAGCAGATCCTCTCGGAGAGAGGCAAGGAGCTGTCAGACCAAAATCCTTCCAATACATCCCGGAGCCCTAAGTATCCAGACAATTTCAGGCAATTTTTCAGCGGGAACTTGTATCACCATTATTATGAGGTGGTTTTAATTTCTGGTTAAAAAGGGAGATGCGGGAGGTGAAGCACGACTGCAATTGCCAAAGAAAATTAATTATTTTTAAAGGGTAGAAAAATTTAAAATAATTTTTTAAAAATCGAAGGTCTAAGGGTTTTGAACAAGGGATGAGTAGTTTAAAAATTGCTGCATCTATCGAAAGCAAAACCTAAATATGCCACTAAAATGGCACTATGTACACAGCGTATGGTGTATATATATATACACATTTATTTATTATATTTTTATGTATATATATATGCAAACATCCATACACTAAAATAAAGAATTACAGCCAGCCTGGATCCTGAACACAGTCTACACTTTATTTCAGACTACAGATTTCTGAACATAATAAAATCTTTGGCTTGTAGCGGCGGGTTCAGTCTCGCAGTCTGTGGATCAGAATTTTTTTTTTCCCCGGGAAAAAAAAAAAAAAGAAAGAGACAGAAATTAACACACACACACACACAAAAAAAAAAAAAAAAAAAAAAATAAGATCAAACGACAGATGAGAAAAGTCCGACATTTACTGTAAAACAGGAGAAACGGACATGGAGGGAGAAAGAAAAAAAAAGGAAAGCAAACAAAACGAACAAACGAACAAAAGAAAGGAGAAACAGAGAGAAGGGAAGAGAGAAACTGTCCAGCAAATAGAGATCGCTACACATATTTCTTACCTGAAATTAAATATATACAAGGTCATATGCTGTTTGGCTATATAGAGATAATTTTTCTTAAGTGTTCATATTTATTTTTTATTCTTAATCGGAGTCCTTATACTATGGATAGACAATAGATCTGCTTTTAAATCGCACCTGTCCGCCTCCCGGCCGGCGGGCCGGCGCCGCGGCGCAGGGCTGGGCTGGGGCCGCCCGCCTCACTCGCTCTCCTCTTTGTCCTGCACCGTGGTGGTGGAGTGGTTGTAGAGTCCCTGGGCCATGAGGTGCAGCGCCAGCCCGTTCTTAATGCCCGTCGCCTTCTTGATTTTGGCCCGTTTGTTCTGGAACCAGATCTTGATCTGGGACTCGTTGAGGCTGAGCTCCTGGGCCAGGCTCTGCCGCCGCTGCTCCGTGATGTACCGGTTCGCCTGGAACTCCGCCTTCAGCCGCTGCAGCTGCTCGGCCGTGAACGCCGTCCTCGGCCGCTTGTCCTCCTTCTCCGTCTTCTTCTTCTTCAGCTTCCTGGTGCGGGGGCCTGCGGGCAGGGCACACACACGCCGCTGGGCAGGGCCGCGCCGCCGACCGACCGACCGACCGCCCGCCCGACAGACCGACCGCCGCCCCCGCCCCGCCGGCCGAGGAAAAATGGCCGACGGGTGAATTTGTGCTGGTTCTGTGTGTCCCCCCCAGCCCCCCAACCCCAGCACCGCCGCCCCGGCACGGCGGAGGGAAGGATGGGGAAGGAACGGGGAGGCCGGGGCCGAGCGCGCCCGCGCATCACCGACCGCCCCGGCCCCGCCGAGCCGGCCCCGCGGGCGAGGGGAGCGGAGCCCGCTCGCCCCGCGCCCCGGCACACGTCGGGGCGCCGCGCCGCCCGCCCTGCAGGGCCGAGCCGCTCTCCTGCACGGCCCGGGACCGGGCTGTACCTGCCGGGCAACGAATCCGCCGGGCAGCGCGGGGACCGAAGGTCCCCGCTGCCAGGCACCGGGGAACCGCCAGCAGCAGACCGGCAGAAGGCTGCCCTGGTCTCCTTTCGGGGGACAACGACCCTCTCCGCAAAGCCAGCCCACTCCTGGGGAGCCCTTCTCCGCCGCCACCCCGGAGCCCCGCCGCCACCGCCCGGGTCGCCTGGGCTCTCCGGCGGCCGATCCCTGTCGGGGACCTACGGCCCCGCTTGCGGCTCCCTCCGCGAAGCCCAGCCAAAAGCAGAGCCCCGCTGCTCCACATCCAGGCCGCAAAGCGGCCAGCTGAAGTGCAACGCAGCTCGCCGGGGAAGCCACCCGGTCCCGGGGCGCATCCTGAGGGCAGCGCCTAGCCGAGGAGGGTACCCCCGGTCCTCTGCCCGCCGGCCTGGCCCGGCCATGGGGAAGAGGAGCGGGGAGGGAACCGTGAAGAATGGGATCTACGAAAATTCCCCGACAGCTGCCTGGCTCGGCGGGCGGTCCCAGGCCCGCAGCCCCCCGCCAGCAGCAGCCGGAGCCGAAGCCGGAGAGGCCTCCCTGCGGCCGAGTAGGCCGAAAGCTTCTCTCCCGAAGCAGCTCTTCCCCGGAACGGGGGAATTTCCCCCCGGCTCGGCAGAGGCTGTCAGGGAGGACAGAGACGAGGCCCGGTGGGGAGAGGGACGGGGCCCAGCGGGATTCTCCCGGGCTGGACCGGCGGGGGGTGAAGGGCGCGGGGAGTGAATTGCTGAGTCCCGGCACCTTGCAGCGGGGTGCCGGCGCCTCCGACCGCCGCAGCCCGCTCGTCCCCGGAGCCGAGAGAAGCAGTCGGGGCCGGCGGGCAGCTACGAGCACAACAAAGAGAGCGGCCGAGCTCAGCCAGCCTCCCCTCGCCCTTCTCCCCTCCCGGTTGCAGCGAGCAGGGAGCGTCGGGGAGGAGGACATGCAGAAATTATCCTTTGCCCGAAGAAAGGCGAGGAAGGGAAATGAAGGCGCAAGTGCAGAACGCCGGGCGCTCGGTGGCCCTGGGAATCGGCAACACAACACTCGCGGCCGGGCCGGCCGAGAGCGAGGCCGTGCCGTCTGACAGCTCTATCACCCCATCAATCAGCCCAGTCAATCAAAGAGGCTTTTCTGAGTTTGAAGTCGCTGGACGTGTCAATAACGGGGGATGGAGACGGCTCGGACGCACTGACGGCTGGCGAGGAGCACCAGGCCGGGCAGTGCGGAGCAGGGCCGGGGCCAGGCAGCGCCGCCTTCCCCGCGCTCTGGAGCGGCCCAGAGCCGGCACAGGAGAGCCCACCCCGGCCCCGCTCCGCGCTGGCCGACCCCTGGCTGCTGGCTGGAGGTGTCATGGGGGAACCCTATCTCCTCATCCTCGGCTTCTTTCAAAAAAATATGGCAATAAAAACCAAAAACTAACGATGATAAATAAAGGGGTGCCTGAGGGCACCTGGGGAATGTAAAGACGCAGAAGGGGCGGCAAAATAGGGCCGGGAGGGCCGAGGTGGCGGCTCCCACGGGGAGCGCCGATACCTCGGGCAGAGGCATATCCCCAGCCCGGAGCTGGGCCCCGAACGGCAGCAGGGAGCACCGGCTCCGGCGGCAATGCGCGGCCTAAGGGCCTGCCTGGCTCGCTGCAGAGGCCCGGCTAAACAGCCTCTCCGCCACCTTCGGTAAAGCCCTTTCTCCTTCGTCTCCAAGAAAACACTACCTCCTCCCCCCGCACCGCCAGCAGCCGCTCAACATGTGCCTCGGGTCTTCTCCCCCTCGCTCCTCCAGCAGCACCCAGGACAAAAAAAATAAAATAAAATAAGGGGAGAAAAAGCCTCAGCACAAGGGAGCGGCCGACCCCGCTGCCTTTTTCTCGCAACGCTCTCACCCCGCGCCGCCGCGCTGCGGAACACCCGGGGCTGCGGCAGGCGGGGCGGGCGGGGGCGCGGGAAGGGGTCGCTCCCGCCGGCTCTCCGCATCGAACCGCCGCCGAATCGGGGCCCGGCGTCACATTCAAATTTGGGAGACTCGGAGGAGGAAGGAGGGGTGGTGGCGGTGGGGGGGACGCGTTTCCTCTCGCCCCGGGTGACCCAGGCCGCCCTCCCCCCCACGCGAGGTCCTCAACAAGCCGGGAGCCAAAGCCAAGGGGGGAAGAGGGAAAGGAGAAGGGGGGCGGGGGGGCGACCTTGTCACGATTTAACAGCTCCCAGATGCGCCGCGGTTCCTTACCCGAGGACGGTCTGTCTGAATACCTAGTGCAGTAGACCCAGGCAGGCCACACCAGCGGCTGTTGCGAGTCGGGCTTTATAACAGGTCCTCCATTATTAGAGCCCATGAGGAGGATGGCGGGGCTGCCGTGCTCCCCGTACTTCGCCGGGTGAGTCTCGCCCCCGTCGGCGGGGGGCTTGGCTGCCCCCGACGCCGCCGCCGCCGCTGCTGCCGCTGCGGGACTGGCTTTGGCGGCGGCGGCGGGCGGCGGCGGCGGCGCGGAGCCGTCGGGACGGCAGTTCGAGTCCGGGCAGAGGAGGGCGGGCGGGTTGGGCGGCCGGGCCAGCAGCGGGTTGACGTTTTCTCTACCTGAGCTCTGCCCCCGATCTCCGTCCCGCTCCCGGCTGCCTCCTCCTCCGCCGCCGGCCGGCGCGGGCGGCTCCTTCTTGCAGCCGAAGTCCGGCCTCAGGATGTTGTCGATGAAAAAGTTGGTGGTGCGGTGGGGCGGCGGCGGCGGGGGCGGCGGGCGGGGGAGGCGGGCGCGGGGCTGGGGGACACGGGCACGCTCTCGCCATCGCTGCCGCTGCCGCTGCTCGCCGGGCCGGGCGCCGCGTCTCGGTGGCCGTGCCCCTCCGGCGGCTCTTCCATGCTCAGTCCCCGCCACGGAGATCGCTGCCTCTTTTCCCCCCACCCACCCACTTTACGCCCACCCCACTTTGACGGTGGGTGGCGGGGTGGAAAAGGGGGAGGAAAAAATTAAAAAAAAAAAAAAAAAGAAAAAAAATATTAAAATCCACTTGTTGGGCTGGAGCTGAGATTTTTTTTTTCTCTCCCTCTCACGGATGGATCCAAAACCTGGGAGATACTGGAGGGCTTCTCTCCCCCTTCTCCCGATCAGCTTATATTTCCACCACTAAAAGAAAAAAAAAAAAAAAAAAAAAAAACCACACCAAAAAGGTGTGCGGCTGCACCACGGCCCCCCGAAAAAAGCCGCCCCCCGAAAACCCGTCACGATTTGCCCATCTCCCTGCCGCCGCCGCCGCGGCGGCTCCGCGCTGCCCCGCTGTCACGCTCCGCTCTGCCCACGCCGCGGGCTGCCGGAGCCCGTCCCCGCCAGCCCGGTGCTGCGCCGCCCGCGCCCGCTTAGGGTTCTTTTTTTAATTCTTTTTTTTTTTTTTTCCCCTTTCCTTTTTTTTTTCAAAAAAAAAAAAAAAAAAAAAAAAAAAAAAAAAAAAAGCCAAATCTCTGACAGCGCCGGTCCGTGCACCAAACTCTCCCTAAAAAATCCCTCAGCCACACTTTTTTCACTCGCACCGGAAGCACGTGAGGTGGCCCCGCACGTGGGGGCGGCCAATGGCGCGGCGCCGCCGCCGCTGACACCCCGCGCCGCGCCCAATGGGCGCCCGCCGGGCCGCCGCCATAAATACCGCGAGGGACCGGACGGGGCGGACGGCACCGGGCGGGACGGGACGGGGCGGGCGGCGGCGGCAGAGGCAGCGGCGACGGGGCGGGGGCAGCGCGCCGCGCCCACGCGCGTGAACCGGGACCCCCCCTCCTCCCCGGCCCCCTGCCAGTCCCGTAAACAACAACTTCCAGCCACGCCGTGTCCTCCACGGGTGGCGGGGATTTAGTCATCGGCCGCTTTGCTGTTGCCCCAGCGATAATAAACACCCCCTTCCTCCAAATCTGTGCGCTTTTCCCCTCTTTTTTTTTTTTTTTTTCTTTTTTTTTTTTTCTTTCTTTCTTTCTATTCTCTCGCGACGGCGTTAAACACCTCGAAGTAAATAGGCACTCCTCCCCAGGACTTTTTTTTCTTTCTTTCTTTCTATTCTCCCGCGACGGCGTTGGGCAGCGCGGGGAGATGGCGAGCCGGGCGGAGGCTGTCTGGAATCGAACCTTTTTGGTTTGGAGGAATAAGAATTACAGTAATAATAATAATAACAACAATAAATAGCAATAAAGGCAGGAGGCACTGCCGGGACGAGCTGGTCTTACGGCCGAAGCCTCTCTCTGGTTTGTTCCTTTACTGGGTTTGGGGTTTTTTTTTTGCAATACGAAGCACATCAGCTCCGGCTCACAGCTGAACTCGTATAATGTTTCCTCGTCTGCTTTTTGATGTTTGCTTGTTTGTTTGGTTGGTTTCGGTTTGTTGCTTTTTTTTTCCCCCGGTATACTTGTTAGGTTTTGTTTTGGCTTTTCTGCCCGGCAGGGAACGAGCACTTCGGGACGTGTGTTGAGGCAGACGGAAAATTTAAGGATTTTAAGGGATGGGAAGAAAAAGCCACTTTTTCAGGATTGATGCAGCTGTCTAAAAATGAATTTACAGAAAATAAATAAAAACGCCTTGGTCCCAGTTCTGTTTTTGCTGGACTGCTGGGGCCGCAGCCGAGCGCCGCTGAGGGCGGCTCTGCCGCAGCCGGTGTCGCTGCCCCGGCCCCAGGCGCTCCCGGCCGCGGGAGCCGAGTGGCCGCGGGTAAGGGCAGTGCTGGTGCTCCCACGGAGGGGCATTGGAGATGGGGGTCCCACGACACCCCACATTGTACACAGCGGAGGAGCTCCGGGCGGGCTGGGCGCCCGGGGCAGCGGCGCTTCCCCGCCGGCCGCAGGCACCTGCTCCGGCTGGAGCCGCTCTCCTGCCCGCGGCCGAGTCCCGGAGCTGCGGGAAGGGCAATTCCGGGCGTTTTCCCGTTCTGACGTAACCGAAACCCCCCCGTTTGCCCCCTCCCCAAAACGGCGGCCGGGTGGCGGTGGGTGCGGAGGGGCCGCGGGGCTCCGCGCATCGCTCCGCGCCTCTCCGCGGGGCCGGGCCGCGTCACGTGTGTCTCCTGTATGTGCAGGGGCTCAAAAACACCTATAGCTCTGTCTCCGTGTGTGTCCGCATCTCGGCGGGCTGGGCTGCGCTGCCGGCAGCAGCCAGGCTCCTCCGCCTCGCCCCGCCGTGCTGCACCGGCTGGGTGCTCTTCCCTCTCCGCGAGCAGCCCCGGGGAAGCGGCCCGGCCCGTGGCTCCGCTTTCAGGAGGCGACCGGCACCGGGAATCGAAGGAGACATCTCTGGGTGTCCGTCAGCTGCTCCCCGGGTGCCCGGGAGGCGTGTGTGTGCCCGCACCTCCGAGGCACGTTTGGTTATTTTCTGTATCGGAGAAACATTACCGAATTGTTACCTCCAGCCGCACAATAATCCCCTAAAATAATAGCTGGCAGAACACAATCGGCCCTGGAATCAAGAGCTTCATCCGCAATTAAATGAATGTTAAACCCCCCCTGCATTCACAATATCATATCATTTACGCGCACCGAAATTGGGTTTATTTATATTTAAGTTAGCAAAATTGAAATCTTTATCCCAAAAGCGAGCGTGGGTACTTAATTAAATTCTAATTAGGACACTATCAATATCCCATTTAGCCACGTAGCCTTTGTGAGCCGCGGTCCCTTTCAGAGCTGTAAATGGGGGCTCGCTGCCTTATCTCTCCTGCAAGAGACGCCTTGAGAAGGGCTGCAAAAGATAATTTATAGGTTTTAATTACTCTTCATTCCGCCTGATCAGCTTGGCGTTCATCACAGGACGGCGAATAAAACCTGGTCAAAAGCACTGTCACTATTCCCTGGCAAGACGCTTAATCAAAGTAAGCAGGGCCATATTACACGCTGCGAGCTTCTTCACGTAATTTCCCAGCTGCTGATAAAGCTAGTTGAATAATGCTGCAGTCCTTCGGAGACACCATTTACAGAAATGACTTTATTGACGGCTTAACGTCGGTAATTCATTTTACCTTTCATGTATTGGGAGCCCGGATTTGTTACAGTAATAGGATGATAAATGTCCTGGCGGCCCTATAGCTTTTATTATTGAATACAATACACACACCCATCCTTAAATGTTCCAAAATTGGGTAACAAAAGGGAGAGAGAGAAAAATCGAAGCCTTTAACTATTTAATTTGCCTTCATGAGCACGCCCGGGGGGGAAGTGTGTCTATGTGCATGTGTGTGTGTGTATGTGTGGGTGTATGTACAAGTGCGTGTAGGGAGGGGGATTATTTCATCTGGAGTCCTCCCTTCTTCTAGAAACTGTTCTGGATAGTAAAGGCTTCTCTATAAATTGAGTAGGTTTGTGTGCGGAGGGGGTGGGGGATCGGCTGGATGAATGAGGAGGGGTTAAAGGAAAAGACGATGTATATTTCCAGGCTGGATATTTTTTTCCATCGCGACCCTTCCTATCTAAATAGATAAATATTACTCCCCGGCTCGCAGGTAGTTACAGTAATCGGGGTAATATGTCTACACACGGTGGCTTAAGGACGGAAGCTTTAAAAAAAAAAAATCCCTTTTTAGGAAAAAGTTCCCCCTGTAACTTGTGGGTGCCGCTGGGTTTCGGGGCGCCCGTCGGGGGGCCCGGTCCCGCGGAGCCCCGTTCCCGCTGCCGTCGCGGGGGGGCCGCTCCTGCAGAGGGGCCGGGGCACCGAGGGCTCCCCGGAAGGTGCTGCGGGCCCGGGGCCGCGCTGCCGCTCTGCTGCCCCTCGGAAGTGCCGCGGTGCCGTCTGAGTCTCTCGCAGGTTGGTGTCCCCAGCGGCTCTCGGCGCTGGGGCTGGGGTCAGCCATCCCGGCTCGGGGCGGGAGCAGATCCGTTCCGGGAGGCGCAGTGCAGCCGAGGGTGCGGAGCCGCGGAGCCGGCCCGGGACGCCCGGTGTCCGCCGTCGGGCTGTGCGGAGGGGCTCCCGCGCACCGTGCCAGCCCGCGGCGCCCGCAGTCTCTTCGGAAACCGGGAGGAATAATTTTTCCGATTTCGTTGTATTTTCTTTTAATTTTGGTTTGGCTTTTTTGTTTTTTGTGCGTTTTTTCTTCTTTCTTTTTTTTTTTTTCTTTTCTTCTCTTGTTCTTCTTTTTGAGGGGGGCCGCCAAAGGAAGGGAGTTTTAAATTTGAAAATAAAAATAAAGTTAAAATTAGATCAAAAATCCTTTGCATTTTTGTTTTCTCGGCGCCCTTATAGGAAGGAGGAAGTATAGAAACGTGGTTAATATACGCTGTGGTAATCCTATTTCTACGTCTAGATCAGATCTCATTGGGGCCTTTGCTGAAGGACATAAATGAGTTGTTCTAATACAATAGATTTCATCCTTCCTACAGGGACTGGCTGACCAGAGGTTTTGTTAAAAGTGAATGCGAATAGATTTCTGCTACAAGTGCAGCATTATTATTATGAGCTGTAAGGTCAGACTATACATTCCGGGTCCCCAAAGCCTATAGACCCTGGGAAAGGCGCGGGATATACCACGTCATTGTACCTGACAGTCTCTTCAATAGACTAATTCAATTATCGCTTGGGGATTCAGTCTTCATTGAAAGCAATAATAGCGGTGTAATTCGTTGGTAAATAGGTATTGGAGGCAGCTCCGCTCGAAACTTTTTTCGGGGCACAGGTTTATGTCTCTGGGAGTCAAAATCTCTCCTGGCAGCAAGGCGGGGAGTGGGGAGAGAGGAAGGGATGTTTTTTATGAAAAGGAGGGCCGGGCTGCGGGGAGAGCTCGGCGCGGCCGGCCGGAGCTGCAGCCCCGCGCCCCGGGCCGGGCGGGCAGCGCGGCCGCCCCGCTCCCCCGCCGGGCTGCGGGGAGAGCTCGGCGCGGCCGGCCGGAGCTGCAGCCCCGCGCCCCGCTCGCGAGAGATGATCCCGGGGAGCCGGGGATGTTGTGCCCTGGTGTCCTGGTGCAGAGTTATGAATCAATTACCATCCAGGACCACCCCCACCCCGGCAATGCAGCCCGGGTCTCGAGTCACGGGGAACTGTAGTAAAGATTTAATTTTATTAATTTCATCGTCTGTCCTCCCTTCTCAAGTGGGATGGAGGCGAAAACACCCAGCAGAAGTTTCTGAGGGGAGAAGAGAAAACT